TCACCTTATGTGTTGTATCACTGAATTTGTTATATTATGTTATTATCCTGCTCAACTTGAATTTTTAAGACTTCGGAGTTTGTCTCCACCCATCCAACCTAGTTCTATGAGTTATATCAACTATGTCACTTACAAGCAACACACGACATGATACTTTATATTGAACATGTTGTGAGAATTTATCTATCACCAAGACAAATAAAAATCGCTTAAGCATGGATCTTCATAAGATTTCTGTGATATTTTGTTCTAGGTACGTCACTTCAAGGTCAATGAATACTATAGGTAAGTCATCTGTTATATAATAAGTCTTCTATGTAAACTCAACATCCTTTATTGATTAGGATAGCTCTTTTCTATTTGTATTCAAACTCTATCATGTACATCATCAACATATATATATATATATATATATATATATATATATATATATATATATATATTATGGCAGCCTTGGTCACCTACAGGAGTGACCAAGTTTCTGTCCTCTTCCTTACGTTTCAATTTGGTATCAAGAGCCAACTTTTTTTTCTTTCTTTCCGCCACCATGGACAACTCCAACCAGTCCATTGCCGCTGCCGTGCAGCCACAGTCATCCTCTTCCACACATCTCTCCATAACTGACTCCAACTCCCAAACAATTGCCCTTCCCGGCCTTCTGATAAAACTTGATCGCGAAAATTATTACCTTTGACAATCTACCGTATATTCTGCCCTTGAAGCCTTTGATTTGGAGGGTCATCTTGATGGAACTAATGCTCTATCCTCCACTATCTTAACCACTACTCAGGACACCTCTGCATCCACAACAAATCCAGCCTTCACGGCTTGGAAGAAGCGGGACAAAATCCTTCTTCTTTGGCTCAAAACGACCATGAGCCATTCTATCATACCTTACATAATGCACATTCGTACCACTCGTGAAGCTTGGTCATATCTTTCCAACCTTTATCAATCTCAATCCCGAGCTCGCGTCATGCAACTTCGCCACCAACTCCAAACCACCACTAAGGGTTCTTCAACCATTATGGACTATGTTGACAAGAAACGAACTATATCCCATAGTCTAGCCCTTGCTGCCCGTCCCATAACAGACGAAGAACTTATGAGTGCTATTTTGTTAGGACTAGACTCTTCCTATGGACCTTTTCGCTCTGCCATTAACCCTCACCTTGATAACCTCACCACTGACTCACTTCTTGGTTTACTTCTCCAAGAAGAGGAGAAACTGGCTGAGGAAACCAAATCCTTCCAACTTCAAGCCAATGCCATATCTCGTCAATACTCCAACCGCTCCCCCATCACTGGATATCCTAATTAACAAAGTGTCACCACCTCTCAAAAATCCTCCACTCGCCCGACCAATACCAACCTCCCTCGTTCCTCTAATAGATCATCACCTCGCATAATCTGTCAAATATGTGAGAAACCCAACCACCATGCTCGTAATTGCTACAACCGCACCAACATGGATACTTACCCACCAACCCGATCCTCTAACCGTCCACAAGCCAATATGGTTACTCTCTCGACTAATTCTATGATGTCTCCTTCGGCTATTATTGATAATTCATGGTTTGCGGACTCAGGTGCTACCAATCATGTTATGTCAGACTTGTCTCAACTATATATTCACACAGACTATAATGGTGAGGATCAGCTTGCTGTAGGTAATGGACAAAAACTCTCTATTAATCACATCGGCTCCTCTAAGCTTTCTTGTGCTACTCGACCACTTCATCTTAACAAAATTCTTCATGTTCCTTCCATCACCAAGAGTTTACTGAGTGTTTCTCAATTTACTAAAGATAATAATGTCTTTATGGAATTTCATCCTTCGTGTTGTTTTGTGAAGGATCCTCAGGGAAAAATACTACTCCGCGGGTCAATTGATGATGGTTTATATCGTTTCGATGGTGGTGGGCTTCCTGTTATCTCATCCTCAACTCCTCGCGCCTTTGTCATATCTCGAGCATCACTCCAAGCGTGGCATGAGCGCCTTGGTCATCCCCATGAGCAACTTTTACATCGTCTAGTCTCTAGTTTTAATCTTCCAGTGACTTCCAACAAAATGCCTGCAGTTTGTGGATGTTGTCAATTAGGAAAAAGTCATAGGCTCCTGTTAGCATCTTCCTCAAGTCGTAGTTTATTCCCTTTCGATTTGGTGTATTCTGATGTTTGGGGGCCTTCTCCGCATCTTTCGATTAATGGAAACAAGTATTTTGTTCAGTTTCTTGATGATTCTACTAAATTTGTTTGGATATTTTTCTTGTCAACAAAATCACAAGTATTTGATGTTTTTAAATACTTTCATAAGATGGTTTCCACACAATTTGGCAGAAACATCAAAACGTTGCAAACTGATTGGGGTGGGGAGTATCGTAATGTGTCTTCATATGCCCAATCCATCGGCATAACTCATCATCTCTCTTGTCCTCACACTCATGAACAAAATGGGGCTCCAAAAAGACGTAACCGCACCATTGTGGAGAAAGGACTAACTTTACTTGCTCACGCATGTCTTCCATATCAATACTGGGAGCATGCTTTTTCTACCGCCACATACCTACATAACCGTACCATCACTCCCATATTATCCTTTAAATCACCCTATAAAGCTCTATATCATCATCCAACTGACTACCAACTCCTTCGAAAATTTGGGTGTATATGCTACCCTTTTCTACGTCCTTACAATCATCATAAAATTGATTTTCGCTCTCTTTCGTGTGTCTTCTTGGGTTATAGTTCGAAGCATAAAGGTTATCTATGTCATTATCCCCCCACCAATAGGATGTACATTGCTCGTCATGTGACGTTCGATGAAGATAGATTTCCCTATCCTCATTACAACAAGTTTTCTTCTTGCTCCAGTGACAACTCACCACCCTCATGCTTAACTTCTCTACAATCAATTTCCAATGCGTTTCCCACATCTGCTGCCTCACCTTTACTCCATTCACTGGCAGATTCTCCTTCCTCATCCTCCCTACCCACTCGAGTCCTACCATTACCTCATTCATCCACCACAATATCTCCACCACACAGTACATGTCCGCCCACCGTCGCGTCCTCTGCTTCAAGCACATATCAGAATGCTCCCACATATTTCCGGCCTGCTACTTCTTCCAATCATCATATGACCACACGAGCTCAAACAAATTCCCTCAAGCCTAAAACACTTATTGTATCTCGCCATCCTACCCCAGTTTCATCCATTATAGCAAGTGAACCAAAAACCTATAAGCAAGCTGCATCCTCTCCTGAGTGGTTGTGCGCCATGGAAGCTGAATATCAAGCATTGCGTCGTAACTGCACTTGGACACTTGTTCCCTGCCCTCCCACTGCAAATGTGGTGGGTTGCAAATGGGTATACCGTATTAAGCGACGAGCAGATGGTTCAATCGAAAGGTACAAAGCTCGCTTAGTTGCCAAAGGTTTTCATAAAGAAGAGGGGGTGGATTTTCATGATACATTCAGCCCAGTTGTCAAACTTTCAACCATCAGACTTGTTTTATCTTATGCAGTGACTAAAGGTTGGGCTCTTAAGCAATTAGACGTTAACAATGCATTCCTTAATGGTGACCTTACGGAGGTTGTTTACATGTCTCAACCACCAGGCTTTATTGACAAGTCTCACCCACATTTTGTGTGTCGCTTGTCGAAAGCGTTATATGGACTAAAGCAAGCTCCTCGCGCCTGGTTTCTCAAGCTCAAAACATTTCTCCTATCGCATGGTTATACTTGTTGTTACTCTGACTCATCCTTGTTTGTCCGTCATACTCCTTCCTCCACTACCTACCTCTTAGTTTATGTGGACGACATCATCATAACGGGTAGTGATCCCTCTTATATATCCTCATTCACCCAATCTCTTGATCTTGAGTTCTCTTTAAAAGACCTTGGTAATCTCTCATTTTTCTTGGGTATTGAAGTTAGTCGTGTCGGATCTGGGATGCATCTCTCTCAAACTAGCTATATTCGAGATTTACTCACTCGAACAAAAATGACAGATTGCAAGCCTTCTCCTTCTCCAGCGGACACCACATTTCAGTTGTCCAAACATGGTGAAACCTTTGATAATCCATCATTATTTAGGAGCATTGTTGGCGCTCTTCAGTATGCGACCATTACGCGACCAGAGATCTCCTTCTCAGTTAGTCGTGTTTGCCAATACATGCAGAATCCTACATTAGATCATTGGAAAGCCGTGAAACGGATCCTTCGCTATCTCAAAGGCTCCCTTACGCATGGTATCTCCATCACTCCATCCACTTCATCTAGTATACATGTCTATTGTGATGCAGGGTGGGCTGCTGATCCTGATGATCGTCGTTCTCATCATGGCTTTGCTGTATATTATGGTCCTAATCTAATCAGTTGGTCCTCACGGAAGCAAAAGGTAGTAGCTCGGTCCAGCACTGAAGCCGAATATCGTGCCATTGCATTTGCCGCATCAGAAGTATCTTGGATAGCTAGTTTGATCAAGGAACTCCGATTGCCTTGTCCTTCTGTGATATTCTGTGATAACATCAGTGCCATTTATCTCACTGCCAATCCTGTCTTTCATCAAAGGTCGAAGCATATTGAAATTGATTATCACTTTGTTCGCGAAAAGGTTGCTCGTGGCCAGCTTTGTGTTAAGTACATTCCTTCCACTGATCAAACTGCTGATGTGTTCACTAAAGCTCTAAGCTCCCCTCGTTTTGCTCATCTACGATCCAAGCTCACTGTCTCCAAACCCGACATGTGCTTGCCGGAGGGTGTTAGATGACAATAAGTCTTCTATGTAAACTCAACATCCTTTATTGATTAGGATAACTCTTTTCTATTTGTATTCAAACTCTATCATGTACATCATCAACATATATATATATATATATATATATATATATATATATATATATATATATATATATATATATATATATATATATATATATATATATATTATGGCAGCCTTGGTCACCTGCAGCAGTGACCAAGTTTCTGTCCTCTTCCTTTATGCATCTTCATAAGATTTCTGTGATATTTTGTTCTAGGTACGTCATTTCAAGGTCAATGAATACTATAGGTAAGTCATCTTTTTCCTTTTTATATTTTCTTATTAGTCTCCTCACAAGATAATATATAAATTTTCGATTAATAACATGGCATGAATCTGAATTGATTCTAAAAGTGGATAGATACCCCGTATCACTCACATTTTCATCGCCTTTTCTAAAAAACATTACTGTATATAAGCTAATATTAACTATACTGCTTGTGAATAATATTACCAAAGTTCCGATCAATTAACTTCTCAATTAAAATGTTCTATAAAATAATATCCAAAAATTACATTATTTCGTTAGAACATTCTATTATGAATTAAAAACTAAATAAAAAAAAAAAAAAAAAAAAGCGCGAAAAGGCACTCTGTTATTTTCGGTACGGACGACAATTTCCGGTTAACCCATTCTCCGCGAATTCCAAAAATATCCCCACTTTCCTGCTCTTAACAAGCTGGTAAATCACGTAATTATCTCCAACTTTAAGGGTCAAATTCTGTTCCGTCACTCCTCAGTCCTCACACCCTTCTTCTCTTCTTCCATTCCCCTGTTTCCCATACAGCAGAAAAATGACAGTACGAAATCGAAATTTCTATATAGTAAATGATTCCACAAATATGGTTGCAAAAAATGAACCGTCAAATGCAAGCGATGAACGTGGATATCCACTTTTCCGGCGACGGCGAGGAAGTTCCGGCGGGAAATGAGAAGGCGGTTGGAAATTTTCCGGTTGGATACGAAGGTCCGGTGGATAGTGTTAAGGTCACGATGCCTCATCAAACAGTTTGTAGTGCTTCTGATGTCGTTGCTCTGCAAAATCGAGAGACTGATTTTGATCAACTCACTATATCGTTTCGTGGCAAAATTTATGTATTTGATGGCGTTACTACTCAAAAGGTGAGCAATTTTAATTATTTTAATTGTGTAATTTGTGAAGTGCATGCATAAGTTGAGGATCAGTATAAAAATGCTTTAAGATTTTATCTTTTTTTTTAATAATTGTGGTGTCTGGGCTAGCTCTTGCGCACCTCAACTAATTCTAAGCTGTTAATTAAGCTATGAAAGATGAGGAAGAAATCAGTATGTTTTTGTCACGAACTTAAAATCTCATGATTATCAATCCAGTTGTAATAAGAGTTTTATGTACCTTAAGTTTATATATGACACCAACTAATTTGTAATTGAGGTGCAGTTGGATTGATATTGATTCTTTTATTCCTGGTAATGTTTGAGGATTTTTTTTCTATACTTCTTTTTTTTTCCATAGGGATTGAGCTAGTGTTAATGTGTTTGGCGTGCTTAAATGAGTTGAAATCGGTTTAATTTTGATCATTCAGATTGAAGAAAGCTAACACATGCGATTAATGATTGGTGTTTATGGCGTATCCTTTTAGTTTGTAGCTTGATTGTCTCAAGGTTCAGGGCTTTTCTTTTCTTTAATGCAATAAAGGGATTATCTTTAGGGGTTTAGTGAGAAGGATGAATATTGATGATTCATATAGACGAATTCAGTTAGTTTGGATTATGTTGTAGTGGTAGTTGTTGAGCGGGGTTGAGAGAGGGGCGGTATTGGATGAACAAGAAACTTCTTCATGAGCTTGCAATAGTTATTTAACTAATTATGTCTATATTGGCTTTGTTTTTTAGCTTTACTCTTTAAATGGGAATGGAAAACTGACTGTTGCATTTGGCTGGATATTTCTTTAATCTGATTGGTGAAGCATTAGGCTAACGAGTAACGATGGTTCATTGTCATAGGTCCATTCGCTTTTTAAACTTTTGGGTGGATATGAGTATTCTCCAGGCACACAAGCTTTAGGTTTGTTGAGTGCAAACCAGAAGGTATCCTTTTTTTATGCAAGCTTCTTCTTTTGGTTTGCATCTGCATTCTTGTAATATGTGGTGAATTTTCTGCCTAAGGATTATGTGGACCATCCAGTGCACTGTGCAGATCCAAAAAGACTTGAATCCCTCATTAGATTTTATGAGAAGAGGAAAAAGAGATGCTATGAAAAGAAAATCAGATATGGTATCCGCCAAGAAGTTGCGTTCAGGTAAATTGACTGATCTACTACTGCCTAAATGAAACTTCTATCTCCTCTTTTTTTGTTTCAATAAGAGTAGAATTTTAGCACTGCTATGTACTTATGCACAAGATTGCTCTATGAAATTAATCCCTATCAGGACTGATCAATTTTTTGGCCCGGACACCAGTGCTATTAAAAAAACAAAGGCTGATCAAACTTACTCAACAAAACCAAAAGTTTTTAGAATATACTGCAATCACATTTACAATTCAAAGCTTTGCACATAAAGTTTACTTGACTTGAGCTGGATAAGTTCTTCTGTTGACCTCCATGACTTGATGAAACCATTATCACTAAATTAGTCTCCATGAAACCATAATTACTAATTATGTCTCCCTTTTTCTTATAACATATGTGGGCTTGTGGCTATCGTCCTCATTTCTCATATTTTCTTATTGGGAAACCATGATTCTGTCTTTTGCTCCTAATCTGGACGGAAAAATAACTCGTGCTGTATTTCTCATTCAGTTTCCTGTAAATACACAACTATTTGATTATTACCTGAATCTGATGTTTGGGAACTTCTTCATTCCAGACCTTTTTCTCTTTTGATTTTGAGTTAGGAAAATAAGTAATCAAGAAGATAGTTTTGCTTGATTCAATTAAGTGGGGATGTCCATCTCGAGCCTAAAAGATTTGAACTGGCTAATATGCTGGGAAAAATTTACTGATTTACTTCTGTAGGTAAAGAAGTGTGTTGATTGTGTAGATGTACTATCTTTAATCATAGTCAAATGGCAGTCTGCAACAACGCTGGATTCGTTAAAATTAATTGCTTTAGAAAGTTAACTCTGACAAGTAACACTCCTGATGAATATGCCATTGCATTCATTACGTGTGTTTCTAGTATGAAAAATGATGTGCAAGAATTTATTGTTCTAAGAATTCAAATGCTGCAATACGATGCAAAACATTTACTAAATGACAACAGCTCTTGCACGCACACACACACATATCTGCCACCTTCCACAGTTTCTTGTTCTTGTATTCCAGTTTTTGATTTCTTCTGCTTATTATTCACATTTATAACTAATCAGAATGAAGCGTAAGAATGGCCTATTTGCTCGAAAAGGTTCGAATGGACCAAAACAGGAGAACATCCCTTCAGAAGAAACTCGGTATGTTTTTAAATATGAGCAATACTTCTGCTTTTTTTCTTGAAGAATAATCTGTTCTAAAAATTAGTTGATTTGTATGGTTTGGTTCGTTTTCAAAACGTATGCAAGAAATATTTTGCTGATGTTGATGTTATCTCATTTCCTAGGTGCATCCATTGCGGAACTAGTTCAAAGGCCACCCCTATGATGAGGCGTGGTCCTGATGGCCAAAGGAATCTTTGCAATGCATGTGGCCTCACTTGGGCAAATAAGGTTGGCATGTTCAGCATCAATTATTCACTCACAGGATAGATGTTCTTTTCTTTTTAATATATTTTCACCTTTATACATCTGAACAACCATACATTATGTTAAATTACTTACATTTTGGTCTGTATGGAAAGAATGGTGTCCATACATTGTAGGACTAGGAACTACAAAGTGCTTGTCTTCCAATACCAATCATTACAAATTACCATAGAATGTTTGCTCTCCTATTTGATTTTACTTTAACCCGCCTTTCCTATGTTTGTTACACGGCTTCTCTAGCATTCTTTGGAGCAATTTCTTGTATTGATTCCTTCACTTCTTGTCATATCACTCTGCAGGGGATAATGAGGACTCTCTATAAGGCATCCTATGACAATACTGAGCTCGAACTAGAGGTAATTGGTTTATTTTATTGCTGAATAGCAATCCTATATGTTGGTGTAAGAATTGAATCTTTCTAAAGGTCTTTTACCCGGCCGACTTCTTAATCCACGTAGAATGAAGATTGCAACGAAACCAACTATGAAGCTCCTCAATGTTCCGCCTCTTATCAAGTTTCTTCATCAGTCTGCCAGTGATCTTGATGCCTTAGAAAGAAAGCCATACTGTATCAACATATCTTCTTCTCATCCAACTGAAAGATTATATATACATACTACAGGTACATTTCATCACTAAAACTTTCTCAACAACTTGATGAAACGATTGAGAACTATCACAAATTTTGTTCTTTTCTTTTGAACTTCATATTGACAGATTAACAGCTTAGCTAAAATTTGTTCGTGAAAGCTAAGGATCTCTCTCATGCCACTTGTATTTACGGGTGTTGAAGTTCTCTAGGAATTTGCAGTTTTGCAATCAAGACCTGATATGTTAAGCAGTATTTTTTAATTCATAATTTGATCTTTTGACAAATCCAACATCTAGATTAAGCTTCGTATTGACTTAAACCCGACATGTTTGAACCTTTGGTATATTGAACTTTGCCTCTTTGGATAATCATAATGAAGAATGATCATATTATCTATACTTTCACATGTGATGACTGAAGTACATTTTATTTTCGATCCTCAGCTCCCTCTTGAGGGGAGCCTTGAAACAACAATAAAATTTTCTGCGACCTACAGGTCATTAGTTCAAGTTGTGAAATTTGATTATTGCATTAGGATGACTACTTTACATAATGCTAGACAATGTGTTAAAATCAAAATCAATATATTTAGGCATATTAGTAGAAGTATGTTGGATGAAGACAGCAGGGAGATATTGGAAATGATACAGTATGTTTATTTTATTTTCAACAATATGGGGTTTGCATTCTCTTTGGTCATTACCCTCTAAAAAAAGTAGAGAAGCAAGTAAAAAACACAGTATCATTATATGCAAACACAACAAATTAATTAATCAGAGTTATTTTAAGTGAAAGATCTTTGATTTATGGCATGCTTCATTAATCAATTAGTTTGGTACGGACATGTTACATTTATTTTTATCTTTCTACTTTTTACTTATAGTTCGATCGGAGAGTTGTCATAACTTCATTCTAGTAGCTGAAGTGGAAGTTCAAATCCGTGTAGATCCCTCTTCACACAGAAAAAAAAAGAAGCTAATTACAAATACATCCACACACAAAAACACACGTAATCATTAATTATCATTGAAGTAGTCAATTATTTTACGTATAGTTTAGTCGGAGAGTTGCTTACAACTTCATTCTAGTGGCTGAAGTGGAAGTTCAAATCCGTGTAGGTCCCGCTTCACACAGAAAAAAAAAACTAATTAAACTACATCCACATATAAAAACACACGTAATCATTAATTATCATTAAAATTAGTCAATTATTATTGTTTAGCATAGACTTGGATAACATAGAGTATTATATTTTCCACAAAAAAATAATAATCATGAGACCCGACCACTTTCCCATACCTAATTTAATCAAGTAGCAACTTATGTTTCCAAATCTAATCCAAGATTTTCTCCACATATACTATAATATATTATCCACTAAAATATAATCTGAAATTTTCTACGGAATCTTATTCGAAGTTTAGAATCATATTAGAGCTTTAATTAAATTTAGGTTTGTGCAAAAATATGCAATTAATAGAATTTTCTCCATATTACAATCCATATTAATTTTAGAAGTACCAATGGCAGAAGCTGTAAATTTAACCATTTTCAAGGTGTGTTTTTATTAAAAGGACTTTTGTCTCCTTCACACTTTCCTCGTCATCCTTGTTATCACCATTCTCCGTCTCTCTTAAAGATCAAACAAAACTCTCTGTATCTAAATTTGATCATGAAATTCGAAGGAGAAATTCATCGCAATTCAACTTAGGAGTTCATATTTTGCTAAAAAAACGAAGAAATTTGGATATTTTTTTGATTGTGTAAAGTGATTTTTGTTGTGAAATTTAGCGTGATTTTGAAGGATTAGGTTAACGATTTCATGGTGTTTATATAGTAGATAAGAGTATCATGATGGCGGAGAATCCACGGCCATTGCAGGCGCGTCCGTTTGAGGATCACGCGCCGCTGCAGTCTCTACGGATGGTGGAGGAGGAAGAAGAGGAGGAGGAGGAGGGCGATGAAGATGGCGCATACGAGGATGATGGAGGGGAAGAGACTATGGATGAGGCGGAGGATGTAAGCATGAAGGTATTGAATCACCATCAATATGGAGGACAGAGCCAACAGTTGTGCGGAGGTGGAGTTGTGGAAGTTTCTAGAACAAGTGAGCTTACTCTTGCTTTTGAAGGTGAAGTCTATGTTTTTCCTGCAGTCACTCCTGATAAGGTAGTTTCTATTTTTAGATAGATATTTAGTTGCGCTTTTTCTTTTCTTCCTGTTTTTGGAACTTCCTATCGAATCATAGATTGGGTGCTTTACCTATTTTATTGTGTTTTTAGTTTAAATACAATGTTCCTATTGATTGTTGTTTAAATGTTATTGTATCTTAATGTTAAATCATCGCAACGAAAAATTTCATATCATTTCAGGTAACAACCGATTTAGTGTACTCTACCCTTTATAATAGCTCTACCTGTACCAATTTTTCTTGTAAATTTGTACTTTAAATTGTTGATGTGTTGTGACATTACAATGGAAAATGATACAATTTATTCAAACTTCGTATTCATCAAAGTAATACAGTTCAATACTATACGATACACTGTGAAGTAATATGTAACAACTATCTAAACGAAGTGTTTTGCGTCATCCTTTTTTGTAAATACAATACATTGTTGTGTGCAAATGTAGTGAATTTTGAGTATACTCTTAGCTATTGACATGATGGTAACTCTACATATTTTTTCCTCAGCGAATTTTGTCATTGTTGTAGTACTGCTATTTATTGATTAGTTGAAGTATCGTACATTGTTCAAACAGGATTAAAGAATGATTTGGGAAAATTTTTAATATGTATGTCTTATCTTTTATTTACGGATCAAGTTAGTACCTAAATTAAACCACCAAACAGCCTACTACAGCACATGAGTACAACTTTTACTCAAGTGTTGTAGCTGGGAGTCAAACCTTGGATCTTGCATGCCTCAACATCAGCCACCCTCTCCAGGAGAACATATTTTGTCTTTAATTCTCTACCTTAAAATTATACATATTTTTCTTGCATATCACGGGCTTCTTGATGAGGCATATGAGTAAATTGTTACTTGGTCGTTTATTGCTCTTCCAGTTCTGATTTTTTGTTCGATCCATCTCTTAAAAGCGGCCTATTAGTGAAAAAAGTTCATTTCCATCATAATTCTAATGGAATTTGTGATTCTTGGAAGCTCCCATCCTCCTTTAGTCCGTTGCCCCTTGCCAGTCCAACGAAGGAATGGAAGAATTTATAGAAATGGTGTCTGGCTAACTGTACACTCTACATCCTAGAATTAATTTGGACATAGTAACTTGGCTGAGAATTTCCTTCTCTGTGCCCGTTTACTAGATATTAGTTTACTCCAAAAATAAATAAATCTTGAGAATATAGTTGGGAATTTTATGTGTCATTGCACCTTCTTTCTTTGTATATAAAGTTAGAAACAGCTGCTTTCCTGTGATACACCTCTAGACAGCTTCTCAGATCCCGTAGAAAGAATCAGAAATAGCTGAGAAATATTGGGGTTTCATTTTTATAATGGTGCTTCTCACCCAGAGACATGTTTAATTAAATATGATGCTGTCTCCATCTTACATGGTATGGTGTTTTTGCTTGTGTTTTCTATGTCATATGAATCATGGTTCTTTTTTTGTATTTGGACAGAGTTGTTACTGTTGTTTGTCAATTATGTGTTGTTATTGCATAATGACTGGCAAAGGTCTGGAAATTGACTCTGGCTTACTTTTGGTAAAAACAGGTGCAAGCAGTGCTCTTACTATTGGAGGGATGTGACATTCCTACTGCTGTGCCCACTGTTGAACTTCCATTCGACAACAAGGTATTCTATATAAATTCTACAACTTGCACTACATAGTTTGATGACACTCTTGGATGACCAGTATTATTTTTAGGTTGAGGATTTGCCAAAGCAAGCTAATCTTTCGAAAAGATTTGCCTCCTTGGTTAGGTTCCGAGAGAAGCGAAAGGAGAGATGTTTTGACAAGAAAATTAGATACAGTGTCAGGAAAGAGGTTGCTCAAAGGTAAAATGATATGTCTTCTTTCCATTTTTTTTGGTTTTCTTAGAGACTTTAGCTGGTAATGATATTTGATAATGTCAAATTGTCCCTTACAAACAAATGAGTAAAAGATGACATTGGTAATAGAAATTGCTATTAGCGTGCTTTCTTTGATATTCATTCAACAAACCCTTTCATATTCAAGTGTTAGTACCATGGTATCAATGTCATTTTCTGGCAAATATAACATGATATTACTTCTTTGATGGAATTCACCTAATAATGTACTTGCAATATCATCAGTCCTTACATTTGTAATATCAGGTAATAAGGACTGAAAATATAACTTCTTTTTTTCTCACCCCCACCCACCCAAAAAAAAATGAAATAGGATTCTGGAAAAATATGCAACTAATTTTCTAAATTTAATTAGAAACATTTTCTGATACAGATATCGAGGTTTTGAGTAATGAACTTACTTGACCACGTGTATATTAGGATGCATAGGAAAAATGGTCAATTTGCATCTTTGAAATCAAGTTCTGGATCTTCTAGCTGCGATTCAGCCAAGAGTAGCCTTGAAGGAGATGGCACACAACATTCTCTAACTATGTGAGTTAACATTTTTTCTCATTTTTAGTGCTTCAGCCTCTAGTGACTGCAACTACTTCTTCCATAACAGCTAAAGACCAATGTTTTTTCCTGCTTGATTTCTTTTTTGGATTATTAGTCCTGGAAAGTGTCACCATTGTGGTGTGAGTGAAAATTGTACGCCAGCGATGCGTCGTGGGCCAGATGGACCAAGGACACTCTGCAATGCATGTGGACTTAAGTGGGCAAACAAGGTACGCAAGACATCCTTCTCTTTTTCTGTGTTTTAATTGTCAAGAAGTTTTTCACGTGACAGAATTCCTGCTTTCTGTTCATCTTTCTCCCACCCCCACCTCTTCTTGATACTCCACTTGATGGGTTATCCTCTCATTTCTTTTGGGAGAGAGAGGTTTCAATAAACTTGCAATCACCTTTGTTCTGGGTCTGCTCTCTAAAATTGCACCAATTTCCAAAATAGATTTTGCTTTGCCAAATCATGTCACCTGATCTGTTCATTCTATTTCTTTTAACCAATATTTGTGCATTCTATTGGACTTATCTTTCAAGTTCTTAATGGCTCCGTATTGTTGGATGAATAGGGAACATTGAGAGATCTAAGCAAGGCAGGGAGGACAATTTCTGTTGAACTAAACGAACTGGTATGTTTCATCAGCAAGAATGAGAAATCTGTTAGTGGTCTGAAGAACTTAATCCTCTTTGCTTTATATATAGTATCCTGTTATTTCTCTGTATACATGCTATTTCTCCTTAACCAAAAAGGACCTGAAAATTTTCAACTTATCCATTCATCTTAGTGTTCTTGATATATGAGAAGATCAAAATTTTGCATTGTCCAATTTTGAAGGTGGAATCTTCTCTATTGCCAGGATGGACATATATGGAGGCACTTTATTACAAAATACTCCAAAAAATATGAGCTTAATCATCTCTCAGGCATCTTATGTTACATGCAGGGAACTCCTAACAATCCCGTGAAGGCATTTGCTGAAGGATCCCTTGATCATTGTGCTGATGTGGAAAAGGTATGCTTTGGTTTTGTGACGCTGTGTATCAATAATCAAAAATATTTCCTCGTATGTTATATTGTAGCACACTTTTCAATAGTAAGATCGAAATGCTTCCTCATAAGGTTATATTGTAGTACACATTAAAATCTAATCGAAATAACACAAAACTATAATGATTAAAAAACAGCGTGAACGAGAAAGAATGGACTCACTTTATGAGGTGCAGGCCCAAGAACTTAACAAGTTTATTTAGTTATAATTCTGTTGAACCAAGTGCAATAAAAACTGGACACTGTAGCAGTGTTATTTTCAGTCTTCTGTTTTTTTTTTTTTTTGAAGACGATAACATTTTCTTGTGTATATAGAAACTTCACGATATAACATTTACTTTATGGAAACTTTACTGTTTTGGTTCAGAATCTATTCAGCTCTGGTAGCAATCTTGCAAATGATATTCCTGCGGGTATCATTAGTTCTTCGAACAATCTTGTTGAGCAGGTGGGAGTAGTTCATGATTTATTTTTTTTCACTATTAAAGTTCTTAATATATTTATTCACGAGAGACTTTTTGGATCGGTTTAGTATCTATATAATGCATTTTTGTCACTTTTTATGTCCGCAGGAAACTGTAGTTGATTTTGGACATGCTTCCAAAACTGAGCTCGTCATTCCTGCGAACTTTGACTAGTAAGTTTTGATTCTTAAAGACCCCATTAGCTGAACAGTGTCTCTGGTTTGCTAACATTTTAAACCATGCACAGGTTGACTGCCTGTAAATTGTTGTTGTAACATACCCACTTGAAGTTAACATTTCCTTTCTGGAGAGACGCTACTATTTCAAACTGACCCTGTTAAATTTGGGATGGTTGCTGTTGATGTGTGAAATTTGATGCCTGTAGATGAGTAAGTAAATATTATTGGTGCCTAACCAATCCATACAAAGTGATTAACTGTGTCCTGTTCATTGCAAGCTAGTTGGTGGTTTGTGTATATATGTGCTGTATATATTGTAACAGCTTGCTTAATACTAATAAGGTGTGTTTGCGTTTCCAGCTTCTCTGTGGACGAGCATGATTTTGACCCAGGTTTTTTATACCATTATTACGCCCCATACAAAATGGATTTTACTTATCTGTGTAAACATAGAAAATGACTAACCAAATACTTACAATTAATGCTGAATTTTGTACAAATATCAATTAACTAGACACCTTTTTTAAGCTAAAAGACCTAAAGGGATTACTCAATAGTTTTATATGCCAAAAGTGGTTGTCAGAGGTAGGATGTGTGACCGTCAATTTTTCTCTGATGGACTTCAGCGGTTGTTTGCTCATTTTTTTCTTCACGGAATTTGCAGTTGCTATTAGGAATTTATTTTCTTTAATTTAAGAAATAGTTTAGTAACAGTTTGCAACAAATGATTAACAGAGAGACTTGAACTAAAATGGAAACTCATGGAGGGACGTTGGACGTATGCAAGTAGAACACGCACTTATACTCCCCTTTTTATAAATAATAAATATTGGATAAAACTTATCCTTATCAGGTGTTCACGACAATCCAATATATGTATGTCATGTGTTTAATTTGATAGTTTATTTTATTTAACCTTAATTAATTAACATGTGGTAACTTTAGAAAAGAATAAAATATTTTATAGTAGAGTATAGTGCTATCTTCTAATTGTAGAGTATCATTTCTCCCGACACTTTTTTCAAAAATAAGAAAAAATTACATAAATCAATATATTTCAAAAAATAATTACTGATTTTATCGATATTTTTTGTTTATTATCATTTATAGCAATACTTTATTAAATCTGTAATATGTATTAAAAGTGAATTATGTATGCAATATATATGAATTATAATTATTTTTTGAAATATATCATGTTTGTTTGGTAAAAAATGATCACATTTTATTATAAGTGTACTAAAATGTGTTAAATGTATTATTCATTATTAAAATTTGTATTATATGTGAATAATAAATTGTTATTGTAATATGTATTGAACTTGTATTATAAATGAATTAAAAGTAATCAAATAAAAAAAAATTATCATTATAAATGACAAATATTTTTTTTATTCTTTAGTATATTTATGGAAGTTTCCCTAAAAAATAAGCATTGATGTCGAAGTGGCCTACGTTGAAAGGCATTATCGCAGTTTTGGTATAAATATGTGTGCTCCTTCACTCTTAACTTTCAGGTACCATCATGCCTCTTTTAAGTCAAAATTATCAATAAAAATATGGATTTGGCTCCTCTTTTTTTAAAAAAAGAAACAAAAAGATTTAATCTTGTCAACCTTTTACTCAGCAAATGGTAAACCTGGACGATCTGAAGATCATTATAAGCTTACATTGTGTATACATGGGGATTCAAATTCTGCCGAGACAAAATTGACGATTGCATTAAGAACATTCCCAATGACTTCTTTTCGCACGGATTTTGTTCAGTGGATGACAAAAGGATTTTCAGTAACACCATGTTTCACGATGAAAAATGGTGAGCTGATCTTTGTTTCTAAACTTTGTATCTAACTTGAGTATCCCCTGCTGGAAGAGAATCAACTATGCCTTACCAAAAGAATCCAAGTGAACAAACGTGACAAAATATTTTCTTTTAAATGCAGAATTGTGACCTTTTGATCACCGGATTGTTCATGCCAAGGGCAGACTGATGGAAACTCAAAAGTAGAAGAATATCAGCCCACAGAATTACAGAGCAAACAAAGTATTGTTTTTATCGTAACTATAACAAATAACAAGAAGAAAACTATCTAGAGGTAGATATTCAGATAAAGGAAAAGAAATTCATCTAGAGGTAGACATGCAAATAAAGAAACGATTATAACCGGTGGAGCATAGAGCTAGAACAAAACAGAAAAGTGATGGTAAAGGATTTTCACTTGACGGTGCAAAATCACAATTGATAGGTACCTTTTTGAAGAATGAAGATAGTAATGTCAAAATTACATGGCAGAAAAATCAATCTAAACATGGTAACCTCACATCAAGAAACTACCTCAATCACATGATTTTGCACAGACCAAATTATTATTGTTTTGCCATATTTAGAGGTAATTGTTTCTTAAAAGCTGTAACCACAATGTACGATCCAATTCTCTCTAACATCAAAGTGGTGTTCAACATGTTTTATGTTAAAACATAACTGATAGCTTGTACTAACATTATTTTCTTTTGACTCTATATGAAGAACTTGAATCAGTACATCAAAAGTCAATAGAAAATAGAAGCAAGCACAGGCAGAGTAGAAATAATGCACTATTTCTTTACTTTGATAATGAGACTGAAGAGTTGGGACTTCCGTTTCCATTTTATCTCCTCACTGTTACAATCCAGATTTTTCTTTTTCAGGGAACACATTCTAATTCTACTCTGTGTCTACTGTACATGTAGTAGAAACTATAAACCTTTTCTCTCTCGCTAAAGATAGATATGTAGTTACAAAACTTATGGACTTTTACAAGTCCTAATGTTGTTTGTAGTGGGTAATACAATAAATACAAGGATAAAGAAGAAAAGAATTGACTGCAACAACAGGGACTCACCTTTGCTCGATTTCCAGGATAAGTCCAGAGCTCTAAGAAGGCAATGAAATGTTATTAATTGTAGACTTCTTTCAGCATTTTCTCGCAATTCTTGCCAAAGGATTTTGGAAGAGCATCTCATACTGTCTAAGTAGGAGACAAGGATGTCACCAAATCCTAATCAATTGGAATTGCTATCGTACCGGACTATTATATATGACCAACGATTGCTCCAGTCCATTTTGGATCCCATAACACACGTCGTTTCAATGTCTTCAAGCTCATCTACTCGTGGAAATCCTCATAAGGCGAAGATTCACTAGATGAATCACTTTCAAATGGGGTGGTCTCTCTTGGTGACGAAGGAAGTGATTCTCTTTGTTGAGAAGATAAACCTGGAAAGGTCTTGTGTCAGTAACAATCTTTTAATAGATACCAAATACAGATTGGGACTCAAAAATTATACTTCAAAGTGTAGTTTAAAAAGTAACGGACCACACTGTCAGCCCGAACTAGGGACTGTAATATCAACTGTGACTAAGCAACCTACACATCATAAAATTGTGTGTTTTGAACAAACTATTAATGCTGGATTCTGCTGGCTCCAGAGAGAGGGAAGAATGGCATCCGAATTAGGTCTTCTCAAGAGGAAAATAATAGGACTCCAAAAGAAAGAACGGGATAATTTCAACATCGAAAAAGCTTCACCAACCTTTTGGTGCTCTTGAACGGAACTTCTTTGTATGCCGTCTAATCAGCTTCTTGGCTTTTGTTATGGTTAGTTGTCTAGCAAATGGAGAGAAATCTCCCTCACTTTCACTCCAATCACCAGTAATCTCATTTTCTGCTTCACCCCTCATTGTTCGAAGCACGAAAGCCTTGGCCTTCCGACGCTGTGAATTGAAAAGGCCTTTTATAGAGGTGACAAAACCATCACCTGCACCCTCAGCGGGACGCTTAGGCCAGGATAAAGGATTTTGCTCGGATTTTCCAGCTGAACCACCATCACTATCACTGAGATTAAGATCAATATCAGGAACGCCAGGAGCACAAGTTTCCTTATGACTATGTGCTTTATCTTTAAACTTCTTTCCCTGCATTCCTGTCACAGATTTTAGGACTCCCCAGATGATGTGCTTCTTGACTCTTGAGAATAGCCTCCGCCAGGTTCCCGTAAATTCAACACGATGGAATGTATCCATCAGCAATCTCAAATCACTCACAGCAAATCTTAATCCTTCATATGTAACAAGTAACTCAACCTAGCCCATGCATATTGAACATGTATTAGTTCCAAAACAGAAAAACTGACGAAACTACAATTAGTTATTAACTCACATAATGAACTGACCTGGCTAATCTTGATATTGTGAAATTCTCTCATTCTACGAGGCCTAGATTTTTTCTCATCCTGCGCCTTACCCACCTTTTTCTCTTCATGAGAGGAGCGGCCAGATTTGATTAGTTTTGATTCTTTGGATCTGTTTCTGTTACCTTCATCTGGCTGCTCAATACCAGCAAATGGCCCACTTGTTGAAGAAGTAGCACTTGAGGAGTGCATCTGCAGCATAAGTTCATCAGCAACAGATTCAGCTACCTTTTCTTCCAATATTCTATCAAAGGATGATGTTCGTCTTAGCTCAGGGGTTGAACCACAAACAATATTAGCTTTTAAGTTCTGCAACTTTGACATCTGCAATGTTCAGGCAAGTGAAATTCATGCTTATTAATAAGAAATAAATATGTCAGAATAATGACACAAAGAAAATCAGATTAAGCATAAATACTGAAGTATTTGCCGATCTGTAAGATAAACTTTACATCGAAAGAAGTAGAAACCACTCTTCACCTATCCCCCAGCTAAGAAGCAACCAACAATCAACCAAGGATTAGGCACTCACTTGGGAGAAATCAGCAGAAGAGGATAACTGATTTGCCGATGTAACTGGTAATGCAGAATTGCTTGATTTGGTGGAGACCTGAGGATCTTTTGTTAGATGGGTACTTGACATTGGTGCTTCCTGTATTGATGCACCTTTCCGTGTACGCCTGGAACCAGCAGTAGTGGAGAACTTCCAAACTTCCTGTAGGCACAAAAACATGTAGCAACAGTATCTTGTAAATTCGTTAATCTTTTGTAAATTCGTTAATCTTCACCTGAGGAAAAACTTATCAGCAACACATTTCTGATACATGGACATTACACGCACCTGCCTGCGCTGGGAGTCTTGTTCTTCTTCTGGAAAAAAGTACTCCCACATCATTCTATACATAGTCTCAGTCAAATGTATCTTTAAGGGGTAAATCTCCACCTGTGCAACGGAAGAATCTAAACAGGTTATCGTATTATATAAAAGAAGCCAAAATTTGAGAAAGGTTTAATGTCCCACTCGACAGCCAGGAGAAAAGTTTGGCATGTTACTCAGTGTGATAAATGCCATGACGAACACCACAGAAGTGTAAAGTTCCAGAGTATGACAAGTTAGCCTAAAAATAGATGTTAAAAATTCTACGCATTACTACCTGGAATAGTTCTAGAGGATAGTTTCCATCTTTTGGAGCTCCCTGCTTAGCATCCACGCGAAGCATCACTTTTCTGTAAACATGAAAAGTGAAGCTATATGGTCAGGAATCAACAGTACAGATCCAAGCAAATTGTGGTTTCAAGAATACTTGCAACATCTAAAAGCCACATATTATTAGCATTCCCTAAAAACATATAATCCGTATGAACATATGGTAAGATATGGCACCAAATCAACTAGCTACTGAAGTTTAAGAAGTGAATAACAAACGTGACAATAACAAATATTCAATGATCATGCTTAAGTCAATTGTTAAACTATGGATTAGAACATTTCCCCCCTGGTACTTGCACCTATGGTGAATGTTGTCATTTTCAATATTATCTAACTGGTATGACCGCAATCCATCTTAGCATCCGCATCTCTGCAACATTCATCTTATGGATATGTTGGAGTTTTGCAGCCAAACATTCACTACCATATAAAATTGCCGGTTTTAGTTGTTTTAGGGAACTTATCTTTCACTATATAGGTATCTGTCTAGCACATAACATCTCAGTATCACTTCTCCATTTCAATCATCCTGTTTTAATCCTTTTTTTATAAGGTAAACAATCTTATTAACAAATTGGAGCCCCGTATATAAGCCATTTACAAGACAAAGAGAACCTACAACAAGATGTAGCACTCAACAATGGAGATCCAATCTTGCATACAAATAGGGACCTCATAAGTACATCTAAAAGTAACTAGAGACAACACTTCTTTGCAATTTTACAAAATCTTGCTCCGCCCCATCAAAATCCCTCCCTATTTCTCTCTTTCCAAATGACACATGATTGCTAATTGAGCAATCAAAGAGCTTCCCACTGGGATTTACTAAAAGCGCTCTTAGCTCTATTATATATTCTTCAAAAGCTTCTTCATCCTCTGCTTTTAACAACTTCCTATAACACTTAACTTTAGCTTTAATAACTCATGTACCTCCTCATTCCACCATCAGGATTCCTATGGTTGAGGTCTTAGACCTTTAAACACACCTAATACTTCAGTTGCTATGTTTTTAATGCAACCCAGCAATTCCTTCGTTAGGATGTTTGTGTCTCCTCCCTCTCCTTTCTCCCGTAATTTCTTCTTGAAACACTACTTGGTTAGCACTCCTTAATGCCCACCACTAATTCGCGTTCGTTTGCAAGTCATCACCTTTCTCACTCTACTCCTAAGTTTTACATCTAAGGCTACTCACCTACGTTGGGTGGTCATCGCTTCTCCAGAGATAACCTTATAGTCCTTGCATGTATTTCTATCTCGTCTTCTTATAAGGATAAATTTTAATTGCCTGTGGTTACCCCCACTCTTACAAGTAATTCGGAGAGATCCCCCTTCTTAAAATATGTCTTACCTACAACCAAATCATAAGCTGAAGTGAATTTTAATATAGCCTATCCTTTGTCATTCCACCATGGTACCAACCCATACAAAATGGAAACATAAGCAAGCACTATACAGTGTAGATAAGCAATACACAGAGCAGGAAATAAACTGAAATTATTGCATACTTTCCCCATTCAGCAGGAGCGTTCCATGCTGATAGAAGCATATCAGACTTGGCATTTGGTAAGCAGTTTCTCACAACAAAGTACTTCGTCGTGAACTTAGCAACCCCAACATCTTTGTAGTCACGGTCAAAATCATATATCTGCATAAAACAACAGCAGATTATATTCCTTTCCTTCTGATTCAAGAGATCCCAATTTCAAAGGTGATAAATTAACGTCTGCAAAAAAAAAGTGTAGGAGCATTAAGGAGGATAGAGGAAGTTCTAAAACAATGACAGTTTTTTCTGGTCCCAGGATATCTTATTAATTGAACACCTCTGACATGATGCTCGCAGTTCATCAACAATGAAACAGTTTCTGGTTGCAAGATAACTGTTTAAACACCTCAGGGATTGCATAAAGGACACAGTAATTTAAAGTTCAAGTGTCAGGGTCCTGTATTGAATTTCATGAACACCACTTCAGTTTTTATCATGTAATTGTCTAGATAAAACTGTAGAGAAAAGTTGCACACTGTGGTATTGGAATCTATTTCCATCTAAAATGCAATGCAATATCTGATAAACCCTAAGTCTGGCACTGAATAAAAAGCTTTG